TGTTTCAGCCCTAGTGATAAACTACTACTGTAGCCACAGTGGGGCACACTGACAGAAGCGAGGCAACCAGTATGTGCCATCAGCCCCACCAGCCAATCAAACACACCAAACTAGAAAATGTTGGTGAAGTGTCTTGCCTAAAGACACAAGAACAGTTTGGCTGACCCACTGTGGCACCTGGTGTACCCAGGGGTCTCGCATCACAGTATTAACCAGGCCCTGCCCTGTACAGCTTCAGGGGTCTAGTATCTGGATTTCGCATGCAAGTAAGTGTTAATACTATTGCAACAACACATTATTAGTAAGGTAAAACTAACCTTTCTCACAACAATTTCATCTCAGATCACGTTCCCTATTAGTGGCTAGTTGATGGGTAAAAACTAGTGCTGTAATTGACGATCATGTTGATCAGTGATTATTTGGGGTATTGTTCCTCTCTTTAATCAATTACAGTAGTTGTTCTTTTTTGATACAGGAGTTGTCAAAGAACAGTGGTGGTGATCCAGGACATAATTCACATTTTTGGACATGGTTATCTGCCCTCTATGTTTGTTAATATTGCATTCCCTGTGTTTGAACTGTGTGATTCTCTGATCTGTGCTGCCGAATCAACAACTTTGTGGAGTCCTTCAAGACGACAACTATTCTGATCGACGGCAATACAAAAATAAATGAAATTGAATTGAGTTTAAATCCGACATAAGGGACTCAAGAACATTTTACACAGACTCGGTGTTTCATAATTATGGCATTTGACAGTTCAAAAACAATTCCATGTTGTAATCTAAAGCTTGATTGGAGTGAGAAATCCTCCTGCTTTTATTACTACTAGTTAAATATTTCAATAATGGATTAGTTGTGATGAATCGACTGACTTGGATTGCATCAGCGTCAGTGCGTAGTAGCCACATGTTGGGCGATTGGAAGGATTGTAAGTGTTGTGACCACTAAGAATACTTCATACATATTGTCATCTCCATGTTAAACAAGTTTCTGCTCAGAGATTTATCATTTCCTCTCTTGACTTCACCTGTGAACTCTAATACATTTGCAGACGTGCACACTGCATCAAAACTCGTGCTTGACACCAGCTGCCGTAGCCCTTCATAAAAGACAAGAACAATAAATGGAAAATAATGTTATCCGAGGGAGATTATTTGAGTGTCCGGATTTGGCCGGTTCAGCTGTTGGGACGTCCTGGAGATGGATGGGAGCTGTAGAAAGTGTCAGAGACAGAATGATGGATGGGCCGGTCACAGATGAGACATGTTTAGTGGATCTGTGCCAAGTTTACAGGCAGGGGGGCAGATCTCAACAGGACGGGCTTTCAGATCCACCTGAGGAAAGAGAAGGCCCTCCCGTTCACCGAGGTGACAAGTAACCGGATACTTTAAATGCGTTCTTTTGGACGCGCAAATTTACATTCCATTTATTCTAATAACACCTCTGTACTGCTGTGGTGTGTTGCTCCAAATACATAGTTTTGCTCACAGTGAGGTTTATATCTTGAATAAATCAGTGTCTGGAGTCTTGTTTCTTATTTTATTTTGAATACCTTATTTTATTTTGACAATTTTTAGAATTGTAGCTTACACCATAGCTACAGTACATAACAGAGGCTCAGCTAACTATCTTTTTGAAATGTATATGGAATCTTGACTGGACATTAAAATTAGCTTACTATTTTACCTTTGAATTATTTGTAAACATACACATTTAGTCAAGACTTTTTCATTATTTTACCTTGGATTTCTGTTTTACTGGTTTTGTGTCTGAGTGAAAATTGGTGAATGCATTTGAACAATCAGAGCCTCTAGTTGTGCTGCAAAGCCATTTTTTTGGGTATTTACCCCGAGATCTTCTCTAGGGATCTTTATATTCCACAGGTAATCTTTTTGCAGTGCACTGAGTCTGACATTATCCAGGCAAACGGAACAAATCAGGGTTTAGATAAATAATAATGGAAATGAAAATGTTATGTATATGATCCATGTTTTATATTTATTTAGCGGACCAAAGAAAAATATATCTTCTTCATTTAAGGCAAGGCAAGGCAAGTTTATTTATATAGCACAATTCATACACAAGGCAATTCAAAGTGCTGAACAAAACAAGAAAGCATTAAAATCATAAATAATCACAGAACATCAAAAAGAAAGATACAAATATTAGAGTTCAAACTACTTAAAGCTGGGGTACCTAACTTTCTCCATATAAATCACAGTCTGTTTCTCTCAATAGAAAGAATGTTATGAAAGTATAATGTTGCGCATGAATCACACCAAAACAAGGTCTTGAGTTCAATTGCACCTCAAAACCTTTCTGTGTGGAGTTTGCATGTTCTCCCCGTGTCTGAGAAGGTTTCCTCCAGGTACTTTGGTGTCCCGACCACTAAAAACATGTACGATAGGTCTGGGCATGTGCCTCTTGTATGGCAACCTCGCTCCCATGTGTGTACTCTATGCCCACAATTGTAAAGCGATTTGTGACTCTGGTCGGTAAAAGGCGCTATATAAATAAACATGTATGTGAAAACTTGAATGGAAAAGGTGGAAATGAATAGATTTTTATGGTTTTGAAAGTTAGGCACAGTAGCTTTAAGCAGATCACACACATCACAAGTACATCTCTTGACACTCCTTCTGCACCAGGCCTCTTTCTCTCTCCTCTCCACTCCCCCCAGTCTTTATCCTCCTCTCACTCTTTTTATAGCGGTGCGTCCATTTCCCTGTATACTCTTTGCCATGGTGCTGACAACCGTCCAGGCACGTGTTGCACAGATGACCCATACACACACATACAGTAGACAGACGCAGACACACTCACACACACACGCAGGCTGCAGAGGACACGTGGAGAATAGATCAATTCAAGGGCTCATACCCACCTGGACCGGAGGGACGATGATGGAAAATAAACTGCCGGCTGATGTACAGGTTGTGTCTTTCAGAAGGCCACGGACATATATTTCCATTTGCTCTAAGAACTGCTCACGGAGAGACTGAAAGGGAAGGGAACAGAAGATTTGAATTAACTATAAAGAATAGGCTTGTGAGCAGGAGTTTGTATCATTAACAAGTCCAGGTTATACGAATATGCAAGTTTTACCAAGTGTCCTGCCTATCTATTTTCCAAATTAAGGATTAACACTATTCAAACAAAACCGAAAATAATTTCCATAATGTGCAGACAAATTCAAATGTAGAAAGTTAATTATGTGTTCTTTATGTTTATCGTATATAAGATCTAATCATCAGCAGACAGTGAACAAGCTGGCTTTGTTTGTTGAATTACCTGTGGAGTTTGCATTGCTAACATGTGGGCTAATGCTATGCTCTTGCTGTGAAAAACACTGGCATTCAAAGTGGTGAATGCACCTGTTTATCTCAATAGAATGTGAAAGGGGCTTTAAACCCTCTTCAAAACTAAAATGTGAGGGAACTATCCTTGTTTTTAACTTGTGAATTGTGCAGATACATTTTCTCCGTCGACTGCAGTAGCATACAGGCAGAATATAGTTTTCAATCCAAACCCTGAAATGGGGAAATTCATATATACATTCTGTTAGTCCCAACTAATTGAAGTAGAAGTAGGAAAATCTTTTGCATTCTGAAAACTGGTTGGTCTGCCATTTTTCACTGGAAAAAGCCGCTTGAAGTGAAATTAGTGTATATGAACACAAGTGATAGGCCGCTATTGGAACTAGTTATGTAATTTATTGTACATTTAGTTGTTTTCAAATAAATTAGAGAAATATAAATAATGGCAAGAAAGACTTATAAAGTGTGAATTAACCATAAAGAGGCTCTATGTTGTCTGACAAGTTAAAATAGTGATTCTGTCAAAACCTGCGCTGCCACACATACAGTAACCTCCCTGTTCTTGTGCGGCCTGTGTATATATAACTGTAAGTACGTCATAAAGCTGTACAAATTTCACAAAGCTCCACTTGACAGGGGAGAACAGAACACAGGCCTGTATCGTTACTGCACATCTAAATCAGAGGCCTTTTATTACAAACACTATGTCCTCATTACTCTATGTATGCACTCGGCAGATAGATCATGTCCAGTCTGTTGTTGCAGCTTCAAAGCCCTGGACGCTCCATGTGTCCGGCATATGTTTCTCATTCATTTAAAGCTCGTTTGATTATCAGGCCTGGTTCTCACCTCTCAAGCCGGCTGCAGGTTTGGAAAGTTGAGAGATTACATCAATTCTAGGGGATTTTGAGATTGCTGCAGTAAAAGATAATGGCGAAACCAACACATGCCTGGATCGTACTGGAAATGATTTCTGTTCTAAAGTAAATGTGGAATTGAAATATATATATAATGGCATATTATATAGAGCAGATTTTACATGCGCACATAAATATATTTATAATGAATGAAAAACAAATCTTGGGGACGTACTAAGAGTGTGAGATTCAAAGGTTGGAAGGCATTTTATGACGGCATGGTGGCTGAGTGGTTAGCAATCCCACTTCTCAGCAAGAAGTGGGGTTCGAATCAGAGTCGTGACAGGGCTTTTCTGAGTGGAGTTTGCATGTTCTCCCCATGCCTGCTTTCACACACAGCCATTTTCTTACAAATAGTTCCTATATACTTTGTATAATCACAAAATGCTCCACACATCCATCCATTTTCTACCCCTTAATCCATTTCTGGGTCGGGGGGGACACAACAACAGCAGTCCTCAGAGTTGGGAGTCGGTGGAGAAGTCATATAGTGATGTAAAGATGATTTCTTTACATTACAATGATAGAAGAATATCATTCAGTGATTGAAAATATTACCATAGTGTGATAATATTGAAAGATCTAACAAAATCAAAGGGTTGCAAACTCTTTCTGAGACATTATTATATTTGTGTATACTTGAGGAAACAGCTCCACTCCATGTTTCTTTCATTAATTTAAGTCACCATCCATTTGAATCCCTTGGGAAACTTTGGTCAGGGCCTTTCAAGATCTTTTACAGATTTAATGTTTTGCTCATATTCTACAAAGCCTCTGAAATGTAGCGGTACTGCAACTGTTGGGAGACCCGCTTGGCTACAATTGTAACGAAGGCCGGAAAATCCATCTTAGACCTGTCCAAGTCATTTGTCTTTTCCATGGCCTCCCAACCTCCCCCTCTCTCCCCCCTCCTGTCCTGGGCCCAGCTCAGACTCTTGGCCTTGACTGACACTGCCCCACTCACAGAGCTGCTGTGTGGGATACATATCTCCGTGTGCACTCTGGAGCTGCCAGACACTTCCTCCGACAGCCAGGAACCCACACGCACACTCCAGTGCCACATTCACACTTCACTTTACACACTTGGTCAAATATATAACGCATAACTTTGAGTAACAGTGATCAATCAGTTTGATTTTTGAGCAGAAAAAGTGACATTAGTCAAGCCTCTGTTTGTTGTCATTTTGGCCACACGCTGTGGCCCATAATTATCAACATTATAATGACTAAAGCTTGAAATATCTCACTTTGCATTCGTGCATTAGTTTTTCTGGACATTTGCAGACCATACTGCACATACTGCTTTATTGGATTAAGTGTGTGAGTAAGCTATGTTTATATTTCATTTCATGTTTTTTTCATTTATTTATTTATTTGAACAGGGACAGTGCACAATATACATTAACCTCAGAAAGGAGAGATGCATTGTACCAGGTTGTAGCACTTGTGCTAATTTCCACCTTCAGTCCCTGGGCAGACTGATTTCAACATACAGTTTTAGAAAAATTACACATGTTAAAAAAACATTTCCCCCTAAACAGCATTAAAATGAAACCAATTTACAGTACTTTATGGCAACAGGTTTGTTTTAAAAGAAGCCATTTTTTGGCCTGGTGTGAAAAAGTGTTAAAATGTAAATAAATGGTGCATTTATTTATATATCGCTTCACGATTTGCTGTAACTATTTTTCCCATTCATTCCAATCCATCAACTTCTATGCACTCACACATTACACTGACTTAATTTACATGTTTAGTGGTATGGGAAAAAGGAGCACCCGGGGGAAACCAACGCGGACATGGAAAGAATACGCAAACTCCACACCGGAAGAACTGGAGGTGGAATTGAATCCAGGACCTTCTAGCTGTGAAGCACAAGCGCTAACTGTTGCTCCGCCATGAAATGGGGATGGAGACTTTTACTTATTATTTATTTTTATGTTTTTTATTTTCTAAAAACATACTTATGTTGTCTCATACAGTCCTGAATGAGTACTTATTTGCTGAGCGTACCTTTACTTTGCAACAACATTTAAGACTGATGCCTGATACAAGAAACATCCCCAAACTGTATGGAGGTAGATTGGTGAAGAGATATGACAGTGTTGACAGTTTACTTCCTGTATTCTGGAGAAATACCTGAGAGGCCCCTGTCTGTCTGAGACGGGCCAACGCTGCAGAGATCTGTCAACTCAATATTATTTTATATTTATTCTGGAAAGCACGTATTGCTTTTAACTCAACAAAAATGGTTGAACATTGCAAAAAAAATGTATGCAGTTTTATTGAATGTTTATTTTAGTACATTCTCACACAGACATCCAAAAGTATAGACACATACATTGGTTTTTAACAAGTATCCAAATTTCAATACACAGGATTAAACCATATATAGCCTGCATCTTACATGTTTTAATGTGCATGTACAGTATATACTATGATGCACACATAGCACTGCAATCATTTGTTCTAATTTCACCAACCATGATATAAAACAACAATATAACACAGTAGCTAACAATAAAACATGCTTAAAGATGCTGTACTGCAGATAGAAGAGGTACGAAGAGTAATCTGTCTGGAACCCTATGCTATCACCAGAGGAGGGTACATTTGTTTGATAAAAGTAAATTTGAAATTTACAGCCTGCAAATGCAGCGATACAATTGTAAAATAAAAACGTAGTGTCAAAAAAACAAATTCATGAAGACTTCAATGGTTTTAAAAGATAAAAGTGGAAAAAAGTGTTATATCATAGTGGTACAATGACATGCTATTTCAGGACTGAGACGGGGGCTTTAGACATTTTTGTGCCAAATTTTGCTGATATTAGCATGTATGGGTCTAAAACCAACTCTAGGCCTGTTTTTAAAGAGGGGAAAAATGTTGATTAGCATAGTTAACTGCTCAAAAAGTCATATTTGCATAATATGTCTCCTTTAAAGTCAAACCCATGCTGGGGGTCACACCAGGATGGGGTCTTTGGGTCAGCAAAGGCTTACCCATTAGAAAGAGCCATATAAAAGGTTTAGCATTAACTTCAAAAGTGAGGTAGTGACTGAAGATTTATCGCCATCACCGTCGATAAGCCTGTTTCCTTATAAGGTCACTTGTTTCATAGGCGCTTCCAGATGCAGTTTCTGTGCATTTCTAACTGATGTGTCAAAGCAGGACTCACAGTGAAGATTAGTTTGAGATTTCATTTTCAACACATGCCTCAAGGCAAAAGTGCACTCCACAAAATGCAGTCAGGTGTATAGAAGGTTACTGGTTTTAAATACATGTCTGTGTGATCCACTGACAGGTTTGATATGTTGGAGAAAAGTAGGACACTAAATTACATGAATGTCTGCGTACACATAAGCATATGAAAGTAATTCCTAGCGGCATACGCCATTAATCTGAGGTGTAATCTTTGGTAATGACAAGACCTGTTTAGGGCTGGTTGGAAAAACTATTGAAAGTGATTCAATCATAGATTTTCAATTGAATCCCCGTCTCCATTATACATTGACATTATTCAACCAGACAAACAGCAGCACATAGTGAAATCATGTTTGAACATGATTTCATGTTATGGGCCATTTAGAGAATTTGGTTTTCTATTGTATTGAACTAGCGCACCCAGAGCCTGTTTGAGGGGGGACTTTTCAATTTTGGGAAGGAACTCTATAAGAAAAATATAAAGGAAACAAAAGATCTGGGGCCAAGGTTTATGTGGGAGACCTCCTAGACCAACACTTACAACTGGAGATTCACCGTATGGACTTGGAGGATACAACTGGGTATCTGCAAGAACAACTGGACAAACCAGACAAACATTTGGTAGATGAGGTTAAACATACGAAGCTTGTGGCTGAAGTCACAAAGATGACATAAGCAGAGGATCCAGGACTTGCAGAGTACAACAACAGATCTGCAGGAGCAGCTGGAGGAAGCAGAGGAATACCTCAAGCCTGAGGGTGATCTTGCAAAGGCAAACAGTCAATTGAAGGAGACTGAAGTCAAGAAAAAAGCTCTGAAGACTCTTTGTCGAGCTGACAGGGACGTACAGACCAAGGATCAAACTCAGGTCTCCCTGAAGTTTTCTTGAACTCAAGCTGCAGAAAAAGGTTCTAGAGCAGGAGAAAAGAGACATCTTTGAAGGAGTCAAATGATGAGCTGCAACAAACCGAGCTCCAAGAGCCAGGCAGAGCTGGACAAGAGGAGCAAGAAGAAGGTGGTGGCGGTGTTGGAGGGAGTATTCGTCTCCAGTCTGAATGTCATTGTAGACCAGTGGTCTCCAACCTGTAACTCGGGGGCCACCAGTAGCTCACAACAGTAGTAGACAGTGTGTGTATCTTGACTTGACAAGTTGAGGTGCAACACACTCAGAGGGCGGGGCAGGGATTAGGGGAGTTTTGTCTTACTAATGTTGTCTGTGAGAATTTAATCTGTGTTTGTCCAGAGTTTAAACCATGTAAAAGCTGGTTTAATCCATACCATGAACAGCTTTAGAACAAGTTAAATGAAAATGATACTTTCATGTCAAGAGACATCAGCCACAGCACAGGTTCAACAGAGCACTTTAATTGTTGTTTTTACTCCTTGTATTGGTTTTTTTGTCGATCGGTGCCACAGTGTCAGCTGTTTTTATGTATGTTCAGTGTATGTGTATGTGTATTTTATATTACGTTGTTTCGTTCTCTTTATTCTGTTGGTGCACACAGAGTACCTTTTTTTGCAAATGTATTCCAATGTAGTTTTTATACTGCATGGCAAATAAAATGAATTTTAATATTTTAGACGACTCTTCCACAGGTCGGTGTCGGTCAGGAGCCATGTGAGTGAAATCCTGTAGTTTTGCTCTTGAAGTGTGAGTGACTCTTGGTAAATATGTTTCACTGTAACTCTATCAAAGTGTATATGCGCAAGTGACAGTCTGTCTGTGGCCAGCCTACTGTATATAGCTGACAGTTTGTCAGATTAGATTGACTAGAACATTGCATGAAGTCACCATAAACGCTTTATGGGCAGCAAGTAAAGAAGGTGTGTAAGGGGATTGTGTTGCACTGGGTTCACCGCACTGCACTGTTTAGCAAAGAATATGATCAATCAGCTCGTCCAAGGGGGAGGCTCGCCATCTATGACAGGTCAACCCAAGACCAAAAACATGACCCACAGTGTCATAAAATACTATAAGAAAAAAAATGATATTTTTTTTAAATATTGCTTTTCCATTCTCAATTCAAAAATGTTTAATAATCAACATGGACAACAAAATGATCACTGAGCAGAAAATGGCACCTCCTTGAAGCATTGACTTGACAAACCAAAAGTGAAAAATAATGGACACAATACTTTTTACTACATACTTATGAACAATGGCATAGAACCCAAAATGGCATTTTGGGCCTTAGTGAATATGTTTATCAAAGCCAACTTTAAAAATAGGTTACATATGCATTGGCTTTACCATCTACATGGTAAAAACACAGTGAAGAGGGTTTGTCAGAGCAAAGACATTCCAGAGCAAAGAGTGTAACAGACAAACCAGAACTTTGACAACATGGAAAAAAAACATTTGAACATTTAAAATATAGATATATAAATGCATTACGCATCTAAGCAGTGATTGTTTGCTAAACTAGAGAGGACGACATCCCTTCTCCTTATATGGTCATTGTGTTTAGCGCTGACATCATACAGCACCTGCAGAGGGCTCAGGTATGTGTGCTATGATAACTGCTCTGCTGGAGGTCCTGGGACTGCATGTAATGTTTGCTTCCGATTTTCTCCAAGAGGTTTCACTTCAGGTGGCACATTTTTGAAGGGAGAGATGCCCACGGAAACTCATACAATTAAAGATTAAACAGCACACCCTCATTCTCTCTTGTACTTATGGCGTCTTTCTGCTGTCATTGATAGACATTCTTGAATCAATATTTGGTCAGGACCTTTCCCAATCTGATAACAACTATTACAACCACAGCTCCATTGCTACAAGATCTGGAGCAGGCAGATGCACATGCCCTATCACTAAATCCAACTAATGTGAGTGGGAAACATGGAATAAGCTGATCA